TGTGTGTGTGTGTGTGTGTGTGTGTGTGTGTGTGTGTGTGTGTGTGTGTGTTAGGGATCAAAGTCAAGGGCATCTGAGTCTTTGTTTGAAAATGACAAATACAGATTAAAATGTTTTCATCACCACCTGGTGGTGTAATCTGAGGTGACAAAAACAAATTGTATTTTATATTGACTTTATTCCCAGCGCGTTTTTGAATTTTCATTGCAACCCATGAAAATGGTGTACAAACAAACTGGATTTCAAAACAAACAAAAAATTGCATCCATAAACAAACACAGATTGATGAATAAACAAATTATCTATTAGTTGAAAAATAACTACACTTTCTCTTGAGTCTACTACAAAGACTATACTTAAGTAAAAGTGTAAATTTAACTTATTTATTGCCTGTGCTTATTTAGGACAATAATACATTTATAAACATGGAAAATACAGCTTTCTAGTGATCACGTGGACAGCTCTGCTCTCTGATTGGTCAGGTCCGACCAGCACCCACCCCCTAAACTGACCACTCCCCATCCGCGTTCTCACCCAYGTGACTCCTCTCAGGCTCTAGCAAAGTTAAAAACAGACTTTGTTTATCTTGCTGTCCGTTTGCTGAAATCCTATCCGAGCAGCTCCTTTGCTTACCTTAATTTACTCTCGACTTTAGTATTATTTTATTATTTTCATTCGTCGACAGAAAAGTGAAAAACTGACGCCCTTTACACCGTTATTATTTTCAGAGAATTATTTATTTTATTTTATTGCATTTTTGTGCGCTCGTGCAGCACGTAGCAAACCAGGTCACTAATTTTTTCTTTTTGTTTGCTAAACGCTTGCATTAGACTACATTATTGTACATGTTTGCAGATTTTGGAGGTTTTGTCGTCGTTGCAGAGAGCTTGAGGGGGCAGGGAAGAAAAGCGAGGAGGGTTTTTTTTGTTTTTAAATCGAGCACTTCTTGGTGAAGAGCGCCATGGCGACTCAAGTGGATGCGTGGTCCACCGCGCCACGAGCCGACGGTGAGTAGAGCATTTTACCCCCCTGTAGGGTAAGATTTGAGTAAAATAAATCAGTGGGGGGTAGGAGRAGAAGCTAATCGGACAGGGGCCTGCTTTCTACGGCCCATTATGCCTCTTCATGACGGGWTGGGTCTGCAGCAGCGCCATCCAGCCACCACCATGTGCTCCTGTTAAAAACACACACAAACACACCGAGGGCTGGTGCACTTCGACGCAGATTTGAGCTCAAAATCTCACTAGACACGGATTTCACAAGATAAAAAGAGCTGTTCGCACTGTTCATCACATGCCTTTGTATCAACAGCTTTGATTTGATCTGATTTAGTAATGTTTGTGTTTAAGCCCTTTRACGCTCCTGACTGGACGAGGCCACTTCCGCTTTCACAAGTCTGCAAAAGACTGCTCAGATTTTCTTGTGCAGGGCCCTTTTGTCAATGTTGGGGAGTGACTCGACGAAGGAAAGACGAGTCCTTTCCTGTTCATATACATTGTAGGCCCTTTTTTTCTCTGTGGGATTTCATAACATTTAATCAAATGTTTTTAAAATAGTTTTCAGCACCTTTCATTGTGGTTTTTGCTTTATATAGTCCTCATAAACGATTACATGCATTATAGGTTTGATCTGTTSTGTTTGTTTATTTTTTAAAATATCTCTGCCCATTACACATGGACTCTTTATGCCAAAAAATGACGTCAACACGTATATCCCACGGCAGCCAGTAGGGAAAGCCTTACATAATCTGTGCTGCTGCTGTGTATGTTTAAATGTTATGTAATAAGTCTATATTGTTTTCTTTGTCACCATCTTTATTTTGGTTTACATTTCCACTGTGTGTGATGAGCATGACCCCCCACACCACGGTGTAATGAAGATGTGTGTGTTAAAGCAACCAAGCCCTCGGTGCACAGATGGTTTTTGCAACCCTTCAGTGATGAGGTGGTGACCCTTTGCATGGTTAAACCGTCTATTGTCTGTGGCTGGAAGACGAGACCGATCTTAGTTTACAGTATTTTCTGCAGTCTGTTGGAGGAGAAAACCTCTCAAACATGCAGGATTTTATACCCCTGCTTTAATCCATTCACACACCAGTGGTAGCCAAAGTCCTGGATGCAGCATCATTATGGAGATACTTGAAGTGATAAACAAAGCAGTGTGCTATAAAGACATATTAGTCTCAAAACAAAAGTATGTATAAAAATTGTAAGTTTACAATAAGATTCACAATCTGATAAGCATCCATGTTTGTGTTTGCACATTAAACAATTTTACCTCTGAATCATTGCATAAATAATAACCAGTGGCAATTGTGCATCGTTTTTTTTTTTCTTGTGCTGGACTTAATGACCGAGTTTAACTCATTTTGCGTACCTCCTCGCATCATGAGTCTGTCAGGACTGTTTTTTCCTGTAATTTATATTTTTCTGCACAGTATCTTGCCTCATTGTTCATTTGATCAAATTTCCAATTTCATCTTGATAGCCCGTTACAATAATGATTATTCTTACTTTATTTTGATCTATGTTTATTTTTATTGTTACTAAATCTCTATTATTGCTACAGTTGACAATGTCACATAGCAATATACTGTTTCTGTAGATTGATGTATGTATCTGCTGCTGCTACTACACCTGAAGTTCCCCGTGTGGGACAATAAAGGCTGTTTCTATTCTACAAATGCATACAGTTTCTCAAATGTACTCATTCCAAACATTAGATCAGTCAACGTAAAAGTACTGATCTGCTTGCTTGTATGTGACTTTTGAGTCGTTCCAGGTTGACATGTTTTGCTACATTCAGACTTGAGCATTTAATATACCTCCTAATATGGCAGATGCACAAATCATGTGAAAATGCRCTATTGCAATAATGTTATCAGTTGCAATAAACCCACATTTTTCTGTTGTGATGATGACATTTTCGAGCCCCCTTTTAAAAAAAAAAGCCGTTTTCAGATTGAATTTTTTTACGTCACCCGTATGTTTTCACATGAAAAGCTTAAATGCATTGAAAACAATTATGTCAAGTGGCTCTTTCTCAAGACAGCCCAGTCAGAAACTAAGGCTTGGCTTCCTCTGTACGATCTCTCTGTAGGGTCAAAGTCAGCCCGCCCCAATGCACTTTTGTTGTGCCAAGTGAGGTAGTGATAGAGCTGAAACTGCAGACRTGTAGAAAAAGTAAGCCAATGCCACAGATCAATAATGATCTGTGTAACCAGCCAGTTGTGGGATTAAACAACAACATACAGATAAGTTAGTTTTATTATCAAGGGAACATGGTGAGGCACAGTAACTTAGTTTAAAAAAAAGAAAAATAACTGTTTACTGATCCTCTTTATGGTTAAATACCGTATATATATATTTTTTCATGTGAGACAGTCTTAAGCCAAGCTGAGTTCTGCTCCACGTCTTTTTTTCTTTCCACAAAGCTGGACTCATTTCTGGGAGCTGTTGTCTGTGCACGACGTGGCTGACTCMATTGGTGGTTTATGAAYGGTCAGAGAGAGCATAAAGACRGACTGGTCTGTGTGKCCATTTCGTGGAACTGTTTTATGAAATATGAAAGAGCCTATAGCCCCACCTGTAATTTAACCCTGACCCCCGAGTGTCATTGCTCAGACTCAGCTAAACATTAATTTACTATAACTTCAATAAGCAAACAAGACAGATKAACTGCTTAAATATTCAGCTCTGCACTCTGGCTGATGTTGAGCCAGAAAAAAAAGATGCACAAGTGTCTTAACTTTAATTCTTAATGCTTGGGCTGTTTTTAAATGAGCAGTTCTGGTGGGTAATCTGCAGTAACATTTCCACACAGACAGTTTAAAAATGTTCTTTGTCTTGTTTTTTATTCTTTGTTAATCAAGCAGAGAAGGTCCTCCTCCTGCTTTTAGGACCATTGTTTTCCTGCTTAAWGCCCACACAGTGAAAGTCTTCAAATCTGTTTTTAGATCGTTTGAAGCTTTGTGCTAAATTTTAGCTTTTGCCAGCAGATAAAATGTGCCTCTGTTTAAACATATTGCATGTTTTAGTTTCCTTGATTTGTCAGCTCTAATTGATTTTCAGTTTGAACCTGTGTCCATGGTGTTTGGCTCAAACATTTGCCATGCTCTGTGTGTGTTTTGAAGCATCTCTGTGGCCTTTTTCTAAGGGTAGAWTAAATGTTCTCACGGGTCGGGGGTGTACCTGTGAGAACATTTCTATAACTCTTTGGATAAATGCAAACCTGTAAACGTCRGGTCCGATCTCTTCGTGGTTCGCTGAGCACATTCTGTTAGCATCTTGACCGCGCTTCTTTTGTCAGACCCTGATGCYGCGCAGGCATTAATGACAGCATGTTTGCTCACACTGTCGGCTCACATTAAGTCTCACAGTTATAAACGGTGACAGACCACCCGTSCAAAGTTGTGCTTTCCGATGCATTAAGTAAACGGCTGATGATTTTAAAATTTAAAAACAAAAGCGCAATCAGTCCCCCAGATGGTTTTTATGTGCGTTTCCTCTAATCTTCTGCACACACTTTTATCTGTGACGTGGCTCTGCTGTTGTTTCAGGAGCTCCGTCGGCAAAGGTTTCTTTAAAACAAGTTGCAGATGTTTTTGTTTTTTTTCCTCAAACCAAAGTGGTGTTCTTGTGTGTTTGACTGTGGGGTTTTATTTGTGGTGTGCGAAYTGTTCCTCAATTGTAAGTGTGACTGTTAGGTGTTTAAACAAAATACACTTTTTTTGTACACAACTTTAGGCTGTTTGTCTGCAACATGTGTTTGAGTAAAATTCTCCAGGAGCCCTCTTTCATTAAAACCAAATGGCAGTTAAACCCCAGAAAATATCTACACTCTTAACCCATAGATAACAACCACAAGATGCCCACTATCGTTTGACCCTGTTTATCATCTGTAGACACTTGAAGTTGTTTTATTTTTTCTTGTGTCCTGCCTTCAGACAGGGATCTTTTAAGTAGATGTTTAATTAACTTTAAATTTGAATTTACTCCGGTTGTCCAGCCAAGGAAACAAAATTAATAATCTCACTCTTTTTGATGCAACCTTTTTTTTTTTTTGCACAGATTACGCAGCCTAACCTGTGAACTATAAACAGTTTGCAGAGGAGTTTCATGACGAGATA